AAGGAAAAATAAAATTATATATATATAATGGTATGTGAGTTGGATGTGTGAACGTGTTTCTAAACTTCCTAAAAAAAAAAAAAAAAAAAAAAAATAGAGAAAATTCAAATTCATGTAATTCTTGAACAATCTTTAGACCACTGGCTCCCATATACCATGTGATGCAGATTGTTTGGTGCTCTCGGTTGGCATTTCAAGTTTTAAGTAAATCAAATCTGATTTTGTTAATTTTGTCTCACTTGGTTACAAATAAGTTGATCTCTTTTTAAATTTGCATAATAGACGTCTCATTATTACATGTGTAGTTCTTCATATTTTGGCTAAATTAAAAATTTTCAAAGAATTTTAATATACAAATCAAAACCCGTGTTCATGGTTTTTTTCTATTTTATTTATTTATTTATTTATTTTATTTATTTTTTATTTTTTTATTGAAGTCTATTTCCTTTTGTTCATATTTTGTCTTATAATTCTAATCTTTTTCATATTTCAAAGAGAGCGTGGAATGGCGAATCTATTATTTTAATTTTGAGTGAACTACATTAAACCATTTTTTTTTTAATATTTGCATTTTGCACTCAACTCCCTTTTCTATTTTTTATTATTTGTTTTTTTTGGGAAAAAAAACCCTTCAACTATCTTAGGAGAGTAATTTAACGAACCGAACTGAAATAGAAATTGATTAAAATATCCATGAGACCTATTTGGAAATCTACTTTATGAATGCATCTTAATTTTTTTATTTTATTAAATAACCTAAACAAGTCATTTATAGAAATTGACACTTCTATTATTTTTTTAGATGGTATTTTAATAGTTTAGTAGTCTGTTTTATGACGAGATTAAAAATTAATATATATATATATTTTTAAAAAGTTTATAATATAAGAATATCTTATAGGAAATTAAATGCATGGGCCAAACAGTTGTATAATAATGTCATCAAACAGGGGCACAGGTATTTTTATCTAAAACATATGTAGGAAAACGTCGAAACAACTCCCTTTCTTGTCTATTTGCTAAATCACCACCTTAGTTGAGAGGGGTTTTTTGATTAAAAAAAAAAAAAATTAAAAAAAGGAGTGTTTAGGACAAAATACTCACCATTTAACTTTTTAAGTCCACAATTTTCTTAGTTATAGACAAAAATCTTTATTGATTTTCAAATGAAATTTAATCCTCCACTAGAATTTGATTCAATGCTAGTATATTTTCATGGTACATAGAAGCTTATATATATATTATTGTTTCAAAGAAAGAAATAAGATATGGGTAAGTAATCTTTTATTTTAAATCTAGAATTAGCTTTGGATTCAATGGAAAATTCGATTCTTTCACTAGAATCCCGGGTTTGAGTCTCGGAAGCAGAATTTTTTTTTTTTTTTTTGAAAAATAAGTAAAACCAACAAAAAGAGAAAAACAAATAATTTTTTTTTATATATTTAATTTAATTTTTTTTAAAAAAAATATTAAAAAACATGTCAAATAAAATGTGATTTGGTAATGAAAAAGTCTGTGGAATAAATTTGGTATTGAATTAAGAAGTTTGATGATAATATAGAATAAAATATAATTTTTTATATCGTTTGTGATGAATAAAATATTAATTTTGAATCTTTTTGTTTTTTAAAAGTAGAAAATAAAAATTCAAAATGCAAAGAAATAAAAATCATACATATTTTTTCAGAAATAAAAATAACTTATTTACATCCTTTTATTTCTCATTTTTAGATTTTTCATATTTTGGGTAAATTGGAATTGTTCTAGGAATTTTAATTTACAAATCAAACCCGCGTTCACAGTTTTTTTTAACATTTTTATTGAAGTCTATTTCCTCCTTTTTTTTTTTTTTTTTTTTTTTTTTGCAAGAGGAGCATGAGATGGTTGATCTATTATTTTAAAATACTCTATTGATTTTCAAATGAAATTTTTTTCTCCCACTAAAATTTAATCCAATGTTTGGCATGACACCGGATCAAGGGTGAACCTAATATTTTAAATTATGCAACTTTCGATATTTTATTTTTATTTTTATGATTTTTTTTATATTTATGAATGGTACATTATTTTATATTATGAATAAACAAAAGATGTTGAGTATGATCGAAGAAGAGCATGTGCTACAATGGTGGGGAATATATGACTAATAAGAGTGACAATGTAGTAGATATAAATGTGTGGTATATTTCAAATAAATAAAAAAGAGTAGTTTAATACAAAACTCAAATAAAAAAAAAGAGTTTAATGCAATTCACCCCTTTAATTTTTAAGTCAACAATTTTCTTAGTTATAGACAAAAAAATCTCTATTAATTTTCAAATGAAATTTATTCCTCCCACTAAATTTTATATCATGCAGCTTTTCGATATTATCTTCTTCTTCTTCTTCTTCTTCTTTTTTTTTTTTTTTTAAATAGTAAATGCATTCTTTTACTTTGATTCTTAAGGTCAACGTACCTCACTAATAAATAAAAATTATGTTATAATATTGACATTATGTTTATTAATGGTTCAACATAGACTCCCAGCCATTCAAAAAATAATTGTTTCAACCTTTTTTCCTTCTTCTTTTTTTTTTTTTTGAAAAACATAAATTAATATGAATTACACAGAGAACCTCTAGTTTGAGCAAATTTTACGTTATATATATATATATATAAAACTGGAAAGAAGTAACAAGAATCCGCTGTAGCTAAAATCTATGGCAAATTCGGTTCTCTCACGAGAATCCCGGTAGCGTAATTTCTTTTTAATTTTTTAAATCCATCGGTGGTGAGCGAGCCCATACTTTTATTGCTTAATAACTGAAAGCCCATTGGTACCCTATTTATTATATCTTAAAATAGAATAATAATTGACTTTAATTTTTAAAAAATAATTAAAACCAAACAAAAAGAGAAAAAAACAAATAAAGAAAAAAAAAATTAAAGCTCTAATAAGATTCAGATTAGAAGGAATAGGTAAAAAGAAAGAAAGAGAGAATTCAAATCCATGTAATTCTTCAATAATATTTAGGCTACTGGTACACATATATTAGCTATTCAAAATGCATTCATCATCGACCATGCGGATCAAAGAAGATGAAACCCTCACCATCTGTTTTGGATGATACATAATAAGTTTGAACGAAGTCAGAAATTATTTCGGGGCACTATATAAAATTTTACAAATTAGATTATATACACACACACACGTAATGGGCCAACTGGCCAAGGGAGCTGTTTTGGAGGAAAAATAATTTTTAAGAGGGGATACTATGTAATAATTTACAAGTTATATGTCTATATATTTTAAAAAATTAATGGGCAGCCTAGGCAGAGGGTACGTGCTCCATGGTCCTAAGTTGGCTCCGTCCTATGTGTTAATAGAAGAATACCCATGTGTTACTTCAAACTCAAGCTACCACCTCACTTACTCCAAATTTTTCATGAGTTGTCAATTACATACAAACATATATATATATATATATATATATATATATGATATGATATGATTTTGTCCTTGACATTCATAGTTGCATCTATATATATGTGTGTTATGATTTGGTCCTTGACATTCATAGTTGCATCTACCAACTACAAACTCTGTACAAGAGGTGAAAATAAAATTTGCTCAATTCTATTTAGATAATGTTAAATCAAAAGGTAAACTCTCACACTTTGAGGGATCAACCTCATTAATAAGAGGATTTTCAAAAGAAAAGGACAGCTCAATTATATTAAAGTAGTAATAAAAAAAAGGTAAGCAAGTTGGAAAGTTTTGTTCAAGATAAGGTAAGTTGATTTTTAAATCCTGTGGTGCGGTGGTGGTGTCAAATATGGGTCCTGAGATCAAAATAATCATCGGGCATTAATAGGTGATCTAGTTGGTATAGTAACTTTATGAGTGAGTGTGTATTTATGTTTGAGTCCTTTTTCCTTAAAATAATTTAAAAAATAAAAAGATTAAAATTAAGGGCCTTGACTGGTGATCAAATTAGTTGAGCACCTAACTTCTCGAACAAAAAATGAACTTAGGATTCATGCACGACAGCATAGGGCCCTGAAGGGGCAGCTGTCCCCATTGCAATTTTTATTTTCTAATTTAATATCATATATATAATTTTATAGAAACTGACAAAAATTGTCCCTCTCTAATTAACAACAAATATGTCCCCTAAATACCAAATGTGCCGCCCTAATTAACAAGTACGCCCTTATTTCTCTACAAAATTATTAATTCCATCCTTTCACTTTTTCTATATTTCAAAAAATATATTGAATTTTCATTCAAGCAAATGTAGATTTTAGGGCTAGCATTGAAGTTCTGTTAGGTTGGTGCGAATTTTCAACAGAATTTTCTTTTATATTATATCAAATGTTGATGTTAGCTGCAATTTAGTTTAGGGTTTTGTTTTTGCATGTTATAAATTTTTGGAATTGTGGGATTTAAGCTCCAAATTTTGTTTTTGTTCCATTATATAATTCTATTAGTTTAATAATACTTTTGTGCCTTTTTTTTTCTTTTTAGGATCATACTTAAACAATCACTCACACAATTTTTATTCACACCCGACCCGAGCTCGAACCCTTCCGTTCCTCATCTGAGAATGGAAAGGTTATACTATTGGGCTTGTTATTTTATATATTTACGAAATGAAATATATTAATTTAGATGCATATTTTTCTAGCTTGAATGTTCACTATAACAGTAGGCTATTACCAAAAATAAAGATCAATCATCAAACATATGATCTGAAGCTATCATCAGTATCAGTGAAGCTTTAGATCAACACCACTTGGCATAGATTGCTTAGGTATCAAGTTCTGTTATAGCCTTAAAAGTAAAAGGGCTTGTGTAGAGCACAAGAATGATGCAACAGAAACAGTATTATATCTGAATAGGAAACTACACCTTTATTCAATAGAAACACCATTATTTTCAAATTTAATTATATATATATATATTTGGCAAAAATTAAATTCAAAATAACATATTAGAGGGAAACAAAGAAAGAAAGAAACCAGGAGAGGAACAAAAGAAATAGAGAAACCTTGAACCCAAAGCTCCACTATCACCATCACCAACCTCTGCCAGACTTAACTTTTAAGCAAATGCTCACACCCACAGCTCCCAATCTCTCTCTCTCTATCTCTCTCCCCCTCTCTCTCTCTCTGTCCACTCTATCCCACAATCTTTAGTTTGCTTCAATGACATTTTCAAAACCAAAAGAAGTAAAAATAAAAAAAATAAAAAAATAGGGAACTTCTCTGATCACTAGGAGTCTAGCATTCTCTGTGTTCCTCCCATCTCCAAGGAACTACCACCATATGGGGTCCTTCCAAACACCAATGGGCTCACGAAGCTCGGCTTTGCTTGAAACGTCATGTGGGTATTTGCTTCAAGAATTGCAGGCAAGTTGTTCTTGAACTACTAGTAATTACTGATGATTTTATACATAGATAGTGATCTTGATTTGTTTTAATTGATCGAGCACTTTTCATACTGAAACAGATGATATGGGATGAAGTTGGAGAGGATCAATTTGAAAGAGAAAAAGTGCTATTGGACTTGGAACAGGAGTGTCTAGAGGTTCATAGAAGAAAAGTTGACAGTGCAAACACTTCCAGAGCTAGACTGCACCAGGAGTTGGCTGATTCCGAGGCCGAATTCACCCATCTCCTTCTGTCCCTTGGCGAACGCTCTCTCCCAGGACGGGTACGTTACTCCATTCTAATTCCAGTTGAGATTCAGGCCTGTAGATCATACAAAATTATAGTATAATGAACAGAGAAAACTAGTTGCAAAATGTTAGCAGAGAAGTCCTACATAACTCAAGATTAATGCAAAATTTCAGAGATTCAAGTGACAATAGTGATAAGAGTGAGTCCCCAGAAGGTCTTTGATTTAAATGTATTTTCATATGCTGATTCTAAATATTTGGGGTGTGACAGCCAGAGAAAATGGCGGGAACGCTGAAGGAACAGCTAGATTCAATAACCCCGGCTTTACGAGAGATGCAGTTGAGGAAAGAGGAGAGAGTGAAGCAGTTCAAATCCGTGCAAGGGCAAATTCAGAAAATTTCTGCAGAAATAGCAGGTAAATCGGAGTATGGTGATTCTTCATCAAATGTCATAGTCAATGAGAATGATCTCTCGCTCAAGAAACTTGAGGAGTACCAAACTGAGCTACAAAGGCTTCACAATGAGAAGGTACTATAAATTTGATCCGGTAATCGCTTTGTAAGAATTTAATCAAGTGTGCTTCAAATTAATGGACTTCTATATATATATATTTTTTTGTCAAAGAGTGAGAGACTCCAGAGGGTGGAAAAATATATAAGCACAGTTCGGAAGTTGTCTTCCACATTGGGGATGGATTCCTCCATGATCATCACAAAGGTTCACCCGAGTTTGAATGAATTGTCTGGGCTGTCGAAGAACATCAGTGACAGTATTTTGGCTAAACTAAACATCACTGTTAAGTCTCTTCAAGACGAAAAACAAATGCGCCTTGAGAAGGTACAAACCTAATCATACTTTGTCCATACCTTGCCTTTATTTGAGCTTCGATCTTTGCAAAGTTAACTTGTCTTGATAATACGAGGCCATGAATTGCAAATCATACATATATGCAATCTGTATCTTGAAATGAGAATGTTAAAGAAAATTCACAAAAATAAATAAATGGTGCCAGAACTTTGAGCGTTTAGCTTCAAAATTTTATATGATCTATTGCAGCTTCATCATCTTGGTAAAGCATTGACAAACTTGTGGAATCTTATGGATACACCCTATGAAGACCGTAAATTGTTCTCCCATATTACCCGTTTATTACCAGCTTCATCAGCCGAAATATCCAATCCTGAAAGCCTCGCTCTTGACATAATCCAACAGGTTAGTGTTTATATAATTGATGGTTCTCAATAGCATCACTATTACTAATAAGATTTGCATTTATGACCACACTGTTTCAAGGCCGAGGCTGAAGTAAAGAGACTGGATCAGTTAAAGGCAAGCAAGATGAAAGAGCTTTTCCTTAAGAAACAGACTGAGCTCGAGGAGATATGCAGCAGATCCCACATGGAGATCCCTTCGCGGTCAGAGATGGATAATATAATAAATTTAATAAACTCCGGTGGGATTGAGTGAATTATAGTCATTTTCCACAAATATGATCTTGTTATTATTATTATTATTATTTTTTTACATGTAATACTAAACTATTTTCTGAACAAAAATATGAAAGGGGAGATTGACCATGCCGAGCTGCTCATGAGCATGGATGAACAGATACTGAAAGCAACAGAAGAAGCTTCCAGCAGGAAGATTATAATGGAAAAGGTCGAAAAATGGATTCTAGCCTGTGATGAGGAGCGATGGTTGGAAGACTATAGCAGGGTCAGGCTTTTCTACCTCTTAATCTACTTGATTAGTTGGCTCAAACCATTCCCGTATATTTTACAATATTTTCTTTGCTTATGCATGTTTTCAGGATGAGAATAGGTACTCTGTCAGCAGAGGTGCTCACAAGAATCTGAGACGTGCAGAACGTGCCCGGATAATGGTTAATAAAATACCAGGTAAATTCGAACAAAATTCCTTTCAACATTGACTATATTGAGACCATTGAATCGAATTAATCATGTCAAAGAAGAGAAAGTTTCCAAGATATAGAACTAAAAATGCAGAAATAACTCCAAGAAACATTGTTATCTGCTAATATAACCCAAGTGTATCATTGGTTGTATGGTTGGAAATATTCTTCCTAATGAGAAAATTCAATGAATTGACATAAAAAATAGATTAAATGCAAAGAGCCTGAGGCACTATGCTCCAAAATCAAGTTATAGGCAACTCTGTGAATATGAGATCATATGGAAGTAGGACCAAGTACCAACAATTGATTATATTGACTAACACTGTTTTTTAACACACTTTCTAACACTGTTTTTTCATGCAGCTTTAGTTGATTCACTGATAGCCAAGACTAAGAGTTGGGAAGAAGAACGAAAAAAGGTTTTCTTATATGATGAGGTAAGACATGCTATTATGGTATTTCCTGTGACCTATTTTTTTCTCTTGCCAGCTTTAGTTACAATTTCAACTGATTTTTTTTTTAAAAAAATTAAATACATTGTCCGGTGCATCACGCCTAAGTTGGCTGCTGGGAGGCGAACAGCAGACAACCCTAACCTTTAGTATTATTTAAAGGAAGTGGCTGCTCTTAGACTCAAAGTGTTTTGAACTTGAGACTTGTTAGTCTGAGTTTTTAACATTGTACAAGACAATGACCCTATATTCAACAGAAAATGTCTTTCCCAATACATTTTCAACTAAATTGCTAAATAAGGAGTGATTGGAAACTTAACTAATTTAGTAACACAACAAGGTTGAACTGCAAACCCCTTTCACTGTAATCATGCTAATCAGATCAAGTTCTGTCACAAACACTATCCGCTTCAAGTCAAACGATGATGATAAAATAGAAGTGGAAGAGGACTTACTATTTGCTTCGTGTTAAATGAAAAGAAGTTGCTGTCCTAACGTCAATAAAAGCCACATTTGTTTATCATTTGTTGCTTGATCTCGCATTTCTCCATATCCCTTTCAATTCTGCATTTCTTCTCTATAAACCAAAGTCACTCTTACATGGAAAATGAATGCTTCACTTGCTTAGGTACCTCTACTGGCAATGTTGGTGGAGTACAATATGTTGAGGCAGGAAAAAGAAGAGGAAAAGCACAGACAAAGGGTTAGTATATCATTGACACTACAATAAAAATTATGTTTTGTGATGCTCTCTTAAGATTAGTATGGATGTATATGATAAAATAAAGCGCGTATATCTACAATGAATTCTTTCAATTTTACCTACTTTTGTTTGAGGCTGTTTCTACCCCCCACAGGAAAAGAAGAAGGTGCAGACTCAAGTAGTAGTCGAGCAAGAAAATTTGTTTAGCTCGAGGCCAAGCACAAGTAATCGGCGTCTTTCAAACAGAAGCTTGAACGGAGGTTTTAGCACTGCCACCCCTCTAAATAGAAGGCTTTCACTGGGTATACAGCAGCTAGAATCAAATAGAATCAATTCGACAACGCAAGGCATATCCCTCATAAAGAAGGCAGGACAAAAGACATTTGCTAGAGCCGGCCTTGATTCTCATCATAGAGAAGATGCAGCTTCAATGATCCCCACATTTTCCTGTCACTTGTCGCCTTATTGAATCACATGCATTGGGGCTTCACATGCAATGGGATTTCATAAATTAGAAGATCATAGAAAGCTTCAAAAAAATAATTCAGATTCTATGTCAGTGTGTTATGATATTTGTGTAATTATGTCTTGAGTCCTTAAGAAGAGCCCCATAAATCATGTGCCAACAAAAATAAGTTTACGACATTTTTTTTTTTTTTTTTTTGGGTTTTGTAGATGAGCAATGTGATATTACCAGTACCGATTAATTTGATGTTTGAAAGTATAATAAAGGCAAGTTTTGTTAACAAGGAGCATTAGTTCCCTGATTTTGAATTGAGTAAAGTCATGTTCTCTTTCTAATTGTGCATCTTCATATACAGAGATAACATTGAAGTCGAAATATATTGGCTTGCAACTTCCTGATTTTAAATTGAGTTTTGTAAGATTTTATAGCTGGAAAACTGGAAGACAACTACTATATCTAACTGTATAGCATCTACATATACAATTAGATAAGATTAAAGTAGAAAGATATTGGTTTGTAAGTTCTTTTAACACAAATCTAGTAAACTACTATTACAAATAGAGACATGAGGAGGCCGAGTATAAAGCTGTTATCATTCAAAATAAAAAATAAGCTGTTGATTTGAGTATTTAATGACAAAATTTAAATCAATCTTTGAGCAGTTCAAGCGCGCACACACATATATATGCTCTTTCTAATCCCATATTATTAAGCCACCAGGCAACAACAGAATACCAGAGGAATAAACCTCAACAAAAAATGCAACAAACTACAACGAGCTTTCCACCAACAAAAGTAAGACTATTAGCAAAAAACCATTTGCAAAAAACAAAATATAAGAAAAAACAGTAACAAACTTAACACTATTAGCCAAAGAAAAGAACCATTTGCAAAAACCAAAGATAAGAAACTTAACAGGACTGCAGCTAAGGAGCACAGGAATGCTTAGAGATCACAGATGAACCATCCAAACAGCTACAAGTTGAAGTTCAGGCATATTTAAATATGAAACCCTTTTCTTCAATAACGAATATATAGTAAATATCAGTTACTTAGAGTTAATATAAACCTTACTAACAAAAAAAAAAACAAGAAGATAATTTTGCTTAATCAGTGCTGTCAACAACTCAAAATGAAATACACAGACCAGAGAATACTTTGGGGACAAAGTCCATCACACAAGAAAGGTTTAGAGAGGAAAGCCATACCATGATTCATGAACCACAGACTCAAAAAAAAAAATATATATATATACACACACACACACACACACACACACACACACACACAGTTTATTAGCAACAAACAACATTAGAAACAAAAAAGTTAATAGTTAAACTATCAGGAATTCAGCAGCAAACTGAAACCCATGCACGCACTAAAACTACAACCCACCATCAGAACAACAATAAACTACCATAAGGTCATAGACATCAAGGATAAAGCCACAGAAGCTGAAGCTAAACCAGAATGCAGTGAAAGCACCAAGAGTATAGCTAGACCAAACAAGACAACATGTGGATGACCATCAATCAATAAGAGCAAAAGGAAGGAATGTTTCAAACTTGAATTTGTTTGGCAGAGATTTTGGTTTTTAAAGAAGCACTAAAAATATTACTGTCTTGGGCATATAGCAAGAGTGTGATGGTTGAGGGAGACTGCCAGCATGCTATAGGTTGAGGGAAATTGTTGTGAACCTTTGCTTAATTGGGTTCCGAGAGGTTGCAATGGCGCAGCTCATTGTTGTGAATCCTCTTGATTTTAAAAAAGAAAAGAAAAGAAATTCAGAGAAGCACTTGGACAATTTCATATTCCTTCAAGACAAAAATATTGCATTATCCTTATTTTATGGTATACTTTTCTATTCCGTACCTTTGCCTTCAAGCATTATAGAAGCACAATGATCTTCTGAGACACCAGTACCTGAAATGCAAATTTTCTTTGGGTTTTTATTCGCTGTAGCACCTAATAGAAACCTTATGAATTAATCATAAAATTAAAAATTGTTATGAAAAAAGGATCGATTAGGAGTTTACGAGAATAAAGAGAAAAATTAATGACAAGAAAAATTAAACAGCGTACACACAAACGAGATAAGGATTTACGTGGTTCAATATGCCTACGTCCACGAGGAGAATACAAATCAATATTTCACTATAGAAATAAAGAGATATAAGGCTAAGTGGCTCACACCTAAAACCCAATTACACCCAAATTCTCTCTCTCTCCAAGTGATATTTCAAACTCACTTTGATGATCTTGGAGGCCTTGGATCAAATGTGTGCAACGCTATATATAGCCCAAAATATACTTGGTGTCCAAGTATATTCAAAACTTCCTTTGGAAGCTTCACCATCACACTTCTGTAGCCAATAGATTTTTGTCATGTCATAAATGAATTTTAAACAAATTTCTAACAAATCTCCTGTAACGACTCAAAACTAATACTTTTTAAACAAAAAAAAAAAAAAAAAAAATTCGGCATGACCTCCCCTAAAAAATAGGCCTATCACAACCTGTTTAATTGCATTTTTAACCTGTCATGACTCAAATTCCGAATTCACGGCAACAAAAGATAATGATACAACCAACTAATCTAGACAATGCTTCAAACTAGGATTATCCATCCATTCATCAACAAGTTGCATACTATCAAATCCCCATCCAAAACATCATCAATACTTTAGTTATATTACATGACAAAGTTCCACAAAATAATTATACATCTTTGCACTTCTAGTGTTTTACAAAATAATGGGGAATATACAAAGATACAAAAGTGAACTTCTAATGCCGTTCAAGCTTGAGGTGGGTTGTCATCCACCAGTTCCTTTCCAAGACCTGACAAAAATATATATAGATATAGGGGTGAGCATATAGCTCAGCAGGTGACACTTAAGACACAATTCTTGTGTCCTAGTGAATCCAAATAAAGTATAGGCCAATGGGAGATTGGGGACATGCATTGAAGGGGAAAAATAATTACAAGTACAAGTCAAATTCAATCACACACAAATGCAAATGGAGTGAGATGCAATGCATGCTAAAGTCACTCCCCGTTTTCATTCTTAAAACCATCACGTTCAAAGTTAATGTAACTCCCTTTGGTAACCCCGCCGCGACGAGAGGAGGATTGGCTACCGTCCCTAGGCCCTTGGTGACCCCGTGGCGCCGTCGAGGGGCCCGAATAGCTCAACCACGCTAGGGTACTCTCCCTAGTCCTCCCTAGGCTACATTAACCTCTGGCCCGTTGGTAACCCCGCAGCGACCGGGTTTGTCAAAACCAATTTTTTTTTTCAAAACATTCATTCCCAAATCCCCATTTTCATTTCAAGACAACCACTTCCCTTTTTCATGCAACCCAATGAGATGTAGGCTCATGTCATGATCTCAATATAATGACAAATGGGAACTTAGCACAAGAATAAATAAGCATGTTCTCATGGCATCATTATAGCATGTTAGTAACCTCAAAAAAAATGTAAACAACCATCACATAGACATACTTTTCATTCAACCATGTTATACACATTTACATAACTAGCATGTTGTCAATTAAATCATTTTAATCAAAATCAACAACAATTAAACATGCTATAACACACATAGAGGAGCATGATTCATTATAGAGCAAGATTCCATGGCTTAAGATGTCCCTACCTCACAATCCAAGCCGAAATCCCTAGAATAGGTCCTCCAAATTCGAGCTCCAAGGAAGACTCAAATCTGGAAATTGATAGTATGGATGCGTAGAGCTCACTACAAGCTTCGTTTTGCCTCAAACGGCACCTCAATCCGACAAAAGATGAAGGAGCAATCAACAATGGAAGTTGAAGTGAAAAGAAAAGAAAAAAGAAAAAAGGAGAAGCCGAGAGCAGTCGGGAGAGAGAGAGAGCAGCAGAGAGCAATTTTGGTCTCATAAATCACTTAAAAAGTGATGTGGGTCCCACTTTGTTTTATATTTCTTTTCTCTTTTTCTTTTTCATTTAAATCACACACCACACACACACAATTATGTACACAGACTTCACATTCTTCCCAACTTTTTAAAAAAATTTCGTCCTCGAAATTAAGACATACCTGAAGAAGAAAACAACGCTGGATACTTGGACCGAACCTCCTGTTCAAGCTCCCAAGTAGCCTCCTCAATTCCGTGGTGTCTCTAAAGGACTTTCACCATTGGTATCGTCTTGTTCCTCAACACCTTCTACTGAGTGTCAATGATCTGAACTGGTCCTTCCTCGTAGGAAACATCCTCATCAATATCCACATCAACCCAACTCAAAATGTGAGATGGATCCGGCTCGTACTTTCGTAACATCGATACATGAAAGACATTGTGAACTCTGTCCATCTGTGGTGGTAAAGCAAGTCTGTAGGCAACCTCTCCTACCCGATCCAAAATCTCGAATGGTCCAATAAATCGTGGCGATAACTTGCCACTCTTCCCAAATCTCATCAACCCCTTCCGTGGAGAAACCCGTAGAAAAACGTGGTCTCCCACCTCAAAGGATAACGGTCGTCTCCGCTTATCCGCATAGCTCTTCTGTCGGCTCTGAGCTGTAAGTAACCTCTGTCTTATCAACTTAATCTTCTCAGTAGTCTCGAGTACAATGTCGGGTCCTAAGGCGGCTGTCTCGTCTACCTCAGTCCAACAAACAGGAGACCTACAAGGTCTACCATACAACGCCTCAAATGGAGCCATCTGGATGCTCGCCTGATAACTGTTGTTGTAGGCAAACTCAATAAGTAGAAGGTGATCCTCCCAATTACCTCCCAAATCAAGTACACATGCCCAAAGCATATCCTCCAAAATCTGGATAGCACGCTCTGACTGACCGTCTGTCTGTAGATGGAATGCCGTACTAAGATGCAACGCTGAACCAAACGCTGCTTGAAGTCCTTCCCAGAACTTCGAAGTGAACTTAGCATCCCTATCTGACACAATGGTTACAGGGACTCCATGTAACCTTACAATCTCTTTCACATAAAATACACCAAGCTTCTCTGCGTCGTCTGTTGCCTTAATAGGCAAAAAGTGAGCCGTCTTGGTCAATCTGTCAATGATGACCCATACGGACTCATTGCCCCTTCGTGACCTTGGAAAACCGGTCACAAAATCCATAGCGATATGCTTCCATTTCCATTGCACTACAGGTAATGGTTGCAACAAACCTGCTGGCCTCTGATGCTCGGCCTTCACCTGCTGACAGGTAAGGCATCTGGCCACAAACTGTGCAACATCATTCTTCATCCCGCTCCACCAATACTGACGTCTCAAATTGTGATACATTTTAGTACCACCTGGATGAACTGCAAAACGGGAAGTGTGAAACTCCCGTAGGACATCCTCACGACATACTGTGGGAACCACCAACAAACCCCTGAACCGTAGACCCCCATCTGTATGCAAGGCTCAATCTTTCACTGTCTCACCACTAGAGATCAAAGCGTGGATGGCATCTAAGTCCGGGTCCTGTCTCTGTGACTCAATCACTCGTACAACAAGAGTAGGCTGAGCCACAAGACTAAATAAGAATGCCGACTCACTGTAACCATCATCATCAAAACACTATAATCCCATCTCTGCCAGATCTTCAAGCATCTTCCACTTCCGAATAGCTAAACTGGCCAAAGTTCCTTGAGATTTTCGGCTTAAGGCATCAGCTACAACATTTGCCTTACCCGGATGATACTGCAAATCAAAGTTGTAATCTTCCAAGTACTCAACCCATCGTCTCTGTCTGTTGTTCAAGTCCTTTTGGGAAAAAAGGTACTTGAGACTTTTGTGATCTGAAAATACCTCGAATCTCTCACCATACAAGTAATGTCTCCAACACTTCAAGGCAAATACAACTGCTGCTAACTCCAGGTCATGAGTAGGGTAGTTGTACTCGTGAGTCTTCAACTGTCGAGACCCATAAGCCACTACTCTACCATCCTGCATCAACACACATCCCAACCCGTCACGTGAAGCATCACAATAGATCACATAACCCAAGCCACGCTCAGGTATCACCAACACTGGCGCTGTAGTCAATCTCGTCATCAACTCCTGAAAAGATGAATCACAGGCCTCATTCCAGACAAACTTGACCCCTTTCCAGGTCAAACGGGTCATAGGAGCTGCCAAACGGGAGAAATCCTTCACAAATCTCCGATAGTAACCCGCTGAACCAAGAAAACTGCAGATCTCAAACACATTCTTGGGTCGCTTCCAAGTCAAAACTACTTCAACCTTTGATGGATCAACTGATACTCCACCTTCTGAAACAACATGCCCCAAAAACTTCACCTCCTGTAGCCAAAACTCACATTTCTCATATTTGGCATACAATCGGTGCTCCCGCAAAATCTGTAAAACAATACTCAAATGGACCTCATGATCTTCCTGAGTCCATGAGTACACAAGAATGTCATCCACGAAAACTACCACAAACTGGTCCAAGTAATTGTGAAAGACGTGGTTCATCAAGTCCATGAATGCCGCTGGCGCATTAGTCAAGCCAAAAGGCATAACAAGGAACTCATAGTGTCCATACCGTGTACGGAATTCTGTCTTTGGGATATCCTCATCCCAAACCCGCAACTGATAATAGCCAGACCTCAAGTCAATCTTCGAGAAACAACTGGCTCCCCTCAACTGATCAAATAAATCATCTATCCTTGGCAAAGGATACTTGTTCTTGATGGTGGCATGATTCAACTTCCGGTAATCAATGCACAACCTCAAAGATCCATCTTTCTTCTTAGCAAATAAGACCGGTGCGCCCCACGGTGACACACTCGGTCGGATGAAACCTTTCATCCTCAAATCATCAAGCTGCCTCTTCAATTCTTCCAATTCAACTGGGGCCATTCGATATGGTGCCATAGAAATCGGCGCGGTACCTGGCATCAAATCAATAGAGAACTCCACTCCTCGGTGTGGAGGCAACTCTGTCAAATCCTTCGGAAACACGTCCAGAAAATCACAAACAACCGCAGGATAATCCTCTTTCCCAACATCATCTTCTTCGGCTATAAGGCTAGCTAAGAAGTAATCACCATGACTTCGTCCACGAACTCCATAAAACGATGAAATGTGGGAATCACTCCAATCTCCCACGAAAAAGAAACAGTCTCCCTCGGAAGTGCAAACTGTAACCCTTCCTCTGTAACAGTCGATCGTGGCATGAAATGAAGCCAACCAATCCATCCCAAGAATGACATCAAAGCTAGTCATCTCCAGGAGGATAAGGTCAAACACGAAAGTCCGCCCGACTATCACAATGGGACACTCCCGCACAATTCGGCTCAAAGACACTGAAACCCCAACTGGCGTATCAACACTCAATGCCCGTTCCAAGAAACTAACTTCTAACCCCGATGCAAGTGCAAATGATGATGAAATGAAAGAATGAGATGCACCAGAGTTAAACAAAACACGGGCCCAACAACCAAACACTGGAAATATACCTCGAAGAACTGACGGTCCAGAAGACGCATCGGTCTGTGCCAGTGCAAAAATACGTCCCTGTGGTACCTGTGCCTGAGGACTGCCAACCTGAACACCTGACTGCTGCACTGACATAGTAGGAGTATCCTTCCTAACTGACCGTGAACCCTGTGAAGACATGGCAGGCTGTGGTGGTGGCGGTCTGAAACCTGATTGAACTGTAGCCGACTGAGACGGCCTCTGTCGTGACCCCCTGCCACTACCTGTGCCTGCTCCCTGGCCTGGACAATCACGAATCAAGTGACCCTGCTGGCCACACCCATAACAAGCCTTCGGAGCTGACGAAACTGAAGACGATCTCATCGGACAACTGGACTTGTAATGCCCAGGCTGCTGACACTGATAACAAACAACTGCACTCCTGTCAGATCCAGCTGGCATAGGAGTGGTAGGAGCAGATCTTGTAGACTGTTGTCCTTGAAACTGAGATGAACCACCCTTGTTCTTCTTCCAAGAAGATCCCTCTAAAGATAGCCCTGCACCCCTCTTTTGCTTCCATTGTTCTCTTCTTGCATCTTTCTCTTTATTATCAGCCTCCAACATCAAAGCCCTTTCCACTGCTTCAGAATAAACCTTAATGAACTGTGCCATGATCAACGGCCTTATTCGATCATTAAGACCGGAAACAAACTTTCGAGTCTTATTAGCTTCATCTCTCACCACTTCTGGAGCAAAACGGGAGAGTGAGGTGAACTTGTTCTCATACTCCGCCACTGACATGTTCCCTTGAATAAGATTATGAAACTGGTCTTGTAACTTCCATCTTTTGGAGAGCGGAAAATACTTCTCATAAAACAGCTCCTCGAACCTGTCCCAACTCATCTCTTCATTTTTGTACTGGTTGGTGATCGACTTCCACCAAACCTTGGCATCCATAGCAAACTTGTAAGTTGCTAGGATGATCTTCAAGTGATCCTCTGTCACATCCATTGAGGTTAGTTGGGTTTCAACTTGATCCAAGTAGTCATCTGCTACCATTGGATCCGCATTGCCCTCAAACACTACCGGCATCAACTGAGAAAACCCTTTTATGATCTTAAGATGCTTCTGAGCTGGCGTCTCCTCAACTTGAACTGTAGGTTGTGGTGCCGACTGCGACTAAGCAGCAATCATTGCCCTCACGACATTTTGCAATAAACGATTAAACTCCAGTGCCACAGAACCTTCACCCACTTCTACGGGTACGGGTGTTTCAACATTCTCTCTTCTTGGGGGAACAGTTCTTGGGGGAATCAAGTCCCTAAGAAGCATGTTCTCATCATTTAGCTCCTCCGAATTGGAGCTGGAGCTCTCACCAACATCACCCCTTGTTGGCCTAGGGCCAACTTTTCTAGGTTCCTCACGCCGTGACATCGTGCTATAAAACGAGAAAACGATTCAGAAACATGACACTAAGACTGTGGACGACTCAACAAGAATTGATACCGTATAACACTTAGCATGCAAGACTATGCAAGAAACATTTTAACATAAACAAGTAAGCAGTAAGCACATAGGCAGTTAAGCATGCTCATTTAAGTAAAATAT